CACTAATTTATGAGCACTGATGGACCACTAATGAGATGGAAATTCAAAAAAAAAAAAAAAACACGAGCAAAATATCTTATCATGTGAGACCCAAACTACTTTAGAGCTATTAGTATTCCTCTTTTTAGTGATCTCACTCATTTTTGTTTCACTTTTCATTTTTAAACGTTTATCCAAATTTTATTTTGATCATTTATTTTTTAATCATGATAATTAAGTCCAACCTATATTTCAGTGTATCCTTTTATTTGAAATTTTAGTGGAAGTTGAAATATTAAGGACTACTGTAAAATTTGAGTAAAAGTTAGAAAGTAAAAAATATAATTTGTTACAAAATTTTTTTTCTTTAATGGCTATAAAATGTATTCACGTGGCTCTTACGTGAGCACTTTCCATCAAAAATTTTAATGATAAGTGTCAAGATGATTATATTGAAATACAAGTTGAAATCTAAAATTTTAATTGTTATAATTAAAAGATGAGGAATCAAAGTAAAAATTTGAATGAAACTTTAAGGGTGAAAAGTGCAATTCACCCATTTTGATATTAAAAATATATTTTAATATTTTAAATATATTTTAATATTTTTTTTAAAGTGATAGGCTCACAAGTCTATCATATCATTATATATATATATATATATTTTGTACATATTTTTTTATTTATGTATTATTACTCATAAATAAATTGCAAATACCAGCAGATTGACAGATCACCTGTGCTGCCAACAACCAATTGCTTAGAATGGAAAAATAAAACCAAGTGGAATATATAGAATTCCCAGCAGCTATATATGGGATCAATATACCTTTTCTTTTTGTTCTTTTGCTTATGTTTTGAGCAATGCAACACAACCACCTGGTGTCATGACTGGCTAACCCATAATTAGTGCCCTTTGCTTGTAAAACAAAGCAACTCCTGTAAAGTTTGTGTCCATGGAAGTACCAAAAAACCACAAATCAAAGCAGATCATTTTCATGGTTTCACAACCATTATTTGAAATAATTTATTTCCTGCTCAAAAGTTTTTGTCTATTTTTTTGGACAGTTATGCTAGAAGAAAAAAAAATTCACAAAATGAGACATAGGGGTGTTTTGGGAAGGAAGAAAAAAAAAAAAGAAAAGCTAATTTTTAATTTTTTACTCATTTTGAATCACATCACTTCTCATATTTTTTTACTCATAAAAAGATAATATAAACTAAAAAAATTAAAAAATTAATTTTTTATCTACTTTCTAAAACACAACGTAAGCGTGTGAGAGGGAGTAAAAACTAGAAAAAATATGTAGGATTCTCCTTCGCGTGCAGAGTTCTCATTTTATTTCACATCTATGTCAAATCATCAATGCACTTTCTCTTTTTGAATGGCATCGTAGGAAGGAAGACCGCACTTCATTACATTGTAGTCGGTCCGAAAAACGAAAATATTAAAAATAATAGTAATTTGGTTTCAGTGTTTTAAATTTAGTTTTTTAAAAATTAAATTTTTTATTTTTAATAAATATTTTTAAAATTTTAAGTAAAATTTTTTTTAGATACATTTTACTTATATGTATCTAAATAGTAAGATATTTGTAAAAATAATATTTTAAAAAATTAATAAATATACAAAAATATGAAAAATATACTGAATTTATATATATATATATATATATTTATATTTTTGGTATTTAGTAAATTTTTTAAAGATTTTTCATAAATGTTATACTTTTTAAGTATATTTATGTTAGGTGTGTCTAAAAATAAAAAAATTCTTAAAATATTAAAAAAATTCAGTGAAAAAAAATACGAAAAATGAAAATATAGAATCTTTTAAAAAGTGAATTTTGAAAACTGAAATCAAATAATATTCAAGTATTAGCACTTGTGTATTTTTTCTGATTAGGATAGTTAAGTATTTTGGACTGTCGAAGTATTATGTAACTTTTTTTTTTTATTGGGCACATTGAAAGCTTTAGAGCATCTCCAGAAACCTCTCTATTCCTCTATTTTTGTTACTATAGCTAGCTAAAAGCAGAAAATTCATCTCCAACAGCTTCACCGGTGGCTAGTTACTTTGATTTTCAGCTATAGTACCTCGCTAAGGAAGACGAGGCACTGTTCAATAGCCTCTCAATTTTTTATTAGTTTCTTTCGAGCACTCTAAGTTTTGCTTACGATCGACACCGGAGGAGGAGGAAGCCAAAGGAGGAGGATCGACGCCGGATAACTCACGATCAATACCAGAGAAGAGGGCCAAGCTGGAGTAGGAAAATCAACACTAGAGGAGGACGATCGAGCCCAAGGAGGAAAATCAACGCTGGAGGAGGAGAATCGATGCTAAACGAGTAATGATCGACGGTAGACGAGAATGCAACGAGGACGATCAACACCGACCTACTCACGATCACAGACGAAGCTCTCTGTCTTTCTTTTCTTGTGCTTGCATTTATTAACATTTTAAAGGGAATAGTTAAAGTAGAGAGTACTGTTGAAATGTGTATTAAATAAATGGTTAGCTAAACTAATAAAGTGTAACTTTGGATAACTAATCTGATAATGGTCGCTGGAAATGCCCTTGGCAGGAGAGGAGTTGTGCTTGTATCAAGATTTCAACTCTTCCTAGTGAGGGGCACCGATTTGGCAAGACGAGCGGTTGATTATTATATAATTTTTTATTTGGATCTAGTGGTGGATAATTCAAAGAAATATTTAGATTTAGATTTTGAATTTTTAAAAGAGAAGAAAGAAAAAAAAATTTACTTATATATGTTTATTTATTTTAATAACCAAACAAAAAAAAATCAATAAATAATTATTATCTTTTTTTTCCTTCTCTTTTTCCAACCTAATCATCACACTCGTAAATCATTTATAATTTAATTATGAAATGACACTAATATGATATATATATATATATATATATAGGGAAATGGAATTTCTAAGAGCTCTAGGAGTTTCAAAACTCTAATTCAATTATGTTGATTTTTAGGGCTCGTTTGGAAAGAGAGGTTAGAGTTTTTTTTGGTTAAAATAACCATAAAAAACAAAATAAGTTTTTTAATTTAACAAGACAAAATATCATATTTAACCCATAATCATTACATTCTTTTTCTCACAAAAAAATCAAAAAAGTCAAAAAAGCCAACCCACTTCTTAAACCAAACTTTTTAGCCCTAGACTAAAATAACCAAAAAAATCAAAAAATCAAACCACTGCCCAAACGAAGCCTTAGTCATTTTTTAAAAAGAGAAAAACATCAATTGGCTACTAAAAATTGAAATATAAAATTTAAAATTATAATCAACAAAGAATCTATTGAATTCACTTATAATTTAGGAATTTAAATTTCAAAATACACATGATTTAAGGAATTTTTTCCTTAATAAAGACAATATATGCTTTCCCTAGCTAATTAATTTTTCTTTCAACAGGAATTTACTATTAAAAAAAAGAAACTTACACAAAAAACATTTTCACTGCTTTCAGGCATAATCTTCTCCATTTCTTAGTTTCTTCCAAAAAAATATTTTTTACACCTCTCTCTTTCTCTTTTTCTTTTTTTAAAATGATGGTTGTTAAGATTTTATTGTCACAAGTCAATTCTAATCCATTTTCACATAAGAGTTATGATATAAAATAATTTATAATTTTGAGAAGACAATTATTTAGGCTTTACAAAATAAAATAAAATAAAATAATAGTATATTAGCAAATGTAATTTACTACTATCATATGTTGAATTAAAATTATGAAATTTATAAAATAAAATGTATTTATATCTTATCGTACATATAACTTTTTTAATTTTTTTCTAATATGTTTACCAATTAAATTATGACATGTATTTTTTATTAAGAATTTATAACACATAATTAATGACATTAGAATAAAAACTTTTTCTTATGTGTAACTTTTATAAAAATAAAAATAATTTAATTGATTATAAATTATTTTTACTACATATTTTAGATAAATTTTATATTATTATTTAAATTTTAAAACTAATTTTTGATTACTTATTTATACCCCGTGTATAGCATGGATAATATACTAATATAATATAATAATAATTGAGTTTATTGATGATAAATCTATGTATACGGAGCTATGACATTAGGTCCAATGATTGATCTTTTATAGAAATAATGACATTATTAATAAAATTGTTATAGTTTTAAGGATTTTTTTAAATTTTTTTTTACCTCACTGCCAACTCGAGAAAGTCAACAAAGGTGGGAACTCGTGGAAAAATTAAGTTAATAGATAGATGACAGCTGGATAAATAAGTAAATAGATCTAAGATTAAATAATTGAGTAATGTTAGAGATTTTAAATATTTTACTAAAAGTTTTATCAAATGTCTTATATGGGTGTAGGATCCACACAATGTGGTCCCATGTGGGTCCCACAATGAGACATTTAGTAAAACTTTTGGTAAAATTTTTGAGACCTATAATATTTTTGTAAATAATTTACAAGATCTAAGATTTATGATAAGTGAGATCTAAGATTAAATGATTTATGAGATCTAAGATATTTATTTTAAAATTGTCCCAATCATTTGGGTGTTGGGAACCGTCTAATATATAAATTTTCTCTACTCTGCGGCTCAATTTTCCATTCTCAAAGAGATCTAGGATTTATGAATAAATCAATTAAAATAAATTAAAAAAATTCACTTTCTCAATTTCTTCTCTAAAATTTAAACTGACTAAAATTACCCAAGAGAAAGAGCCCCTAACACTAGATTGATTTTACCATTTTTTTGTCTCACATCTAATGTTTAATCGAACAACAAACAGTAAACCAATCATATTCAGGAAAAAGAAAATGATAGAAAAAATCATCCGGTGACAAATATTATTTAAAACAAAAAAAGGAAGAAAAAAAAAATAGCCATGCTAAAACCTCCAAGTTTCCTCAAAATAAAGCAAATAACAAGAGAATGTCCATGTTTAAAAAAAAAATAAAGAAAAAAAAAATAGTAGTATGTCCATGGATGCATCCAACAGAGCAGATGTACAAATCTCCCACACTGTTATTGAAATGGTTGCATGAACTTTTAGTTGCTTAACAAATCATACAAAAAGTAGAGGTGAGGCACAACACTACCCTCACACATCGTTTATGTTCATCTATCTAAGCCCTTCTTCAGTTAGTACCTGAAAAAACTTCTTTTTTTTTTTCTTTTTCTTTTCCCAACTTCAAATACTTCTCCCTAACTAGATTATTAACCAAACCACACACACATCATCTATACTAGACCAATGTTTTCACAAGCATCTAGAAAATAACTAATTAAGCATAGTGAAATTACAAACATCTCATGCCCAAGCTTCTCCACCTCGTCCCCTACTATCTACAATCCCAAGGCTGTCTGACTTCTTCGCCGGCTTGCTCAACTGGAATACAGGGTGCCTGCAAAGTTTCCTCACTCCTTTTTTCAGACTCAGCTTATCAAATATGCCCTCAACTTCCCTGTTGTCATCATTGTACTCGCCTCTTGAACCATTTGTTAAATTCCGCCTTTTGCCACTAACAGGTGAGCTCCTACATGAAACGGATTCATACCAGTCTTCAGCAACATCATTGTCATCCTGAAAACTCCGGAATTTCTCCAAGCAGTCAGATTCTGATCTGTCTAAAATGATGCTCCCAAAAATGTTGCCAGTGGGAGGTCCTTTGGAGGCATGGCCATCGAGAGTTTGGCCATGTGAGAACACGCTGCTCGGGTTTGATGATTGAGAATCTCCCTTGTTCCTGGGAGAGTCTCTGCATGATGGCAGCAATCTAGGCTGTGCATGTGATTCTTCTCTTTCTCGAAGGGTTTTCATAATCAGTGTCTTCAGGAAGTTCATAACTTGGACAGCGTGAATCAATGCAGTCAGAGGATCAGCCATCTGCATCATAGAAATAATAAGTCATTTTAAGCCACATCTAACATTAAATTGCAAGCAACAAGAATTGCGATGTTGATTGCCAAAAAGACACATCGATAGTAAGCAATTATTATATGTTGCACATATTAATATTTAATTCAAAGATAATAATTTTTAAAATCTAAAGAGGAAGAATAGATATAAATTTATGTAATTTTTCTTCTATCATTGAATTTTAGTTATTTGATTCAAACTTGTAATGTATTTCATGTATAAGTAACGAGTTCCCCAAGTGTATGAAGTGTATCCAAGTATAATTTCTCTTTCTAAAATAGTAGGACATTTTTGGGCATGTCCAACTAGTGTTGTGTTGTGTCGGTGTTCGACACGTGTCAGTGATAAAAATACATCATCTTAAGCCCTTAACTGCCTGCTTTACCTACTTTGGCTACCTATCAAGAAGCATCACAATGTTTTCCTGATTATCTAGTTCAATTAAGTATGCCATGGACAAATGGTGTTACAAGATCATTCCAATGACCTGAGTTGACCCATCGAAAGCCAATTGAGTAGGTTTAATTGCACTAGACAAACCAACTAGGAATTCAGAACTAACAAAACAGGTAAAAAACAATTGACATTGGGAAATATTAAGCACCTGAGTCATGTTAGGTGCAAAAACCATAGCAATGTTACGTGCATTCATCTTGTTGTGATTTTCATGCTGCACAACATCTGCCATCAGATTGATGGCCCAGTCAAGTAGCGCAGCTTCAGTTGGAGGAAGTAACTTCAAAAGTTGAGTGCACTCATCTTCTGCATTGCAGTGCATCACCTGTTCTGGGGTCAGACAGTCAAGAACTCCCGCAGGAAGTTCTCTGAACCATGCCTGCACAACATAAAATTTCAGTTAAATAAAGTCAACCATGAATGTTTGAGAACACTAACAGACAGGAATACTAATTAACTGAATAAACATTATGTAACTTCTAAACCAAAGCCTTGATTCAGGAGCCAAGACTATAGAAATGTGGTGGCCTCAACAAAATTATTCCGCATGTGTTCAGTTTAATTCAACAGAACCATGACTTGTGTCTACTTTCTCTTACTCTTTCTGCCATTTCAAAATTTCAAGATCCAAATATTAAAAAGAACTCATTTTTTATGTTGATCAAAAATTTTAAGTGAGAAATAACATGTGACGTGAAAAATGAGTTTTACAATTAATAAAAGAAGAAAGATGCACCTAAAGATGTAAATTGTACTTATATACCGGAAGAAATAACACACAATAATGTACAACTAAGAAGAAGAATGAAGAAACGGCAGAGAAGAAGAAATCAGGGATCACAATCCCAAAACAATTCTCCATATCAATTATTTAATACTCAGTCATATAATCTACTACTCTAAACTATTACATGAAGCCATATATGTAGGCAGAATAGGAAACCCTAATTAAATTAAAGTTAAAAAAAATAAAATCCTACAAATAATTTAAAAACTAGAAATAATCCAAATAAAGAAATAGAATAAAATTCCTATATTCTTCAATTTGTTGTCATCCAATGCCTTTTGAGTCCCCATCACACAATCTGTTACTTAATTACACACTGATATGGTAGACACAGTAACTTTAGGTCGTGCGATCCATTTGAATCAATCACATTCCACTCAACTCTTCTACCAATACCAACAGCTTGTAGGTTCCTAACTCACCAAATGCAGTAATTCTTACAACTAGTGACATATAAACTAATCATCATTGTAAACCGAAGAAAATTGGAATCCATCAGAAGTTAGACCCTTTAGACAAGCACATCATTGCACATCAAAGCTGAATGACTGAAACCATAAACTCATTATACATTTCTATAGAAGTTGTTTGCTAATGATCCATCAGGTGGAGGGATAGGATCTCTTTTCAGACCTCATCATATATATAACCCTTCATAATAAAGAAACTTATCATCTTCACTCTAGCAGTCTCGATTCCCCTCATCCGTGATTCAAAGAGAGTATTTCTCTCAAAAAAAAAAATAATTAAAGGCTTCGAGTATTAGCAGTCAAAAGTTCAAGGAGAGAGTGTAATGAAGAACCAATTTTTTAAATAATCCATCCCTGTTCCACTAAACAAAGTAATAATAAAATAAACTATACATCTGATACCCAACTTTATTGTGTTTAGATTATGACTATTAATTCATCTTGCAGTGACTTGGCAGTTATCCAAACTGGACAACCTTTTAGCAAATAACCACTTGCATAGATACCTTTATCAACCCTGCCAAACAGTGAACGTCAATTCCATGTGGCACAACACCTTTGTTCAGCTGGTTCCGAACATACTCTTCTTGACTGTTCTCAGCATTTATTCGAAAGATTCCTTCTGCCTTCAAGCAACACATGAAAGAGCCCTCAGTTTGAACAAGCTTAAAAAGAGAAACTACATTAGAAGTTACTGAGTATAAACAAAAAAACGTACTTGAAGGCCTCCTTCTGAGTACAAACGCTGTTGCATCATAAGAAGAATCATGGGCACACTGTTTCCTCTTTGATCATAGGAACACTGCATTGAGTTGGCAGAAACTCCGAAAACACTTACACTGGATGAATGCAAGTTGAAGCTAATCAATAAGAAAATCTAGAATTGGGACACATAATTAGTTACTGCAAGTTGAAGATAAATGAACCAAATGATGGCTTACACAAATCAATTAATGCAAATGAGAAAATACAAAATGGAGTACCCAAAGACACCATGGAAAATCCCTCGTAATCTGCCAATGCTTACAGAATTGCAAATAAATTCAATAGAAGATCTACAAAACCAGTGGGGGAGAAAGGCGAGTTGGGAGCACATATTACTTTATCCTACTCAAACTACACATAAACCGAGAAACATTTTCACCTTTGAAATCGAACCTATTTTAAGGACCATGCAAAAGATATACATTAAAACCACATTACGTCTTGTATGCTCGCCAGCCAGAGTATGGGGCAAGAATCAGAGTGGCTGCATGAAGTGCAATATCCATACATCATATGGGTCAGAGCATACGCATGTATATATGTATATTTCAACCTGCCAAAACCTATTATCACAATCATTATCATCAACTAGTCAAAACCTACTATATACAATATAATGCTTTAATTTGCATTAAACAGTTGATGGCGTAGTGGTTTCTTGGCATGACGCATAAGGCTTCCAAGTTCCAACACAGATGGAAGCCTCCTTACCTACTTGTCTATAATTTTTTTTCAATAGAAGCCATTTGAAGACCACGGTTAGCCACCAAGAAGTCATGAAACAACATGGTTTGACACCAAACAACAATCACGTCTATAAACATTAAGTAAACTATAATTTGGCTGGCCAATTTTACTCCAATTGTTCAAATTTGTGTATAATTCTGGAATCCACAATATCATTCAATGAATTACACATACAAGTACAAACATTCCCATCTCATATTCAATCACTTTATAAACTATAGTTGAATTGGAAAAATTTGGGAAATAAAAACTCTGGACAAACAGAATGCGTTTAAGTAGTTGCAAAAATGCACAATAAGATGCCTGTAGAAGCGCAATTCCCCTTGCTATTATGTCACTCCTCCTTAAATACAAAAAGGAACTACTTACATGAAAGTTGAAACCATTGTTCATGCGAATCATGACAAAAAAAAGCTATTCTACATGAACAGAGTCCTAGTCCATCAAAATGAGTTTATTAGGCTCTCTTGCTATATTGGCAATATGAACTCAAGATCTCCCATGCTCTCTATCTCTCGCTGATAAAAAGAAAGGGACATCAAAATTTACAAATGCAAATGACTTTTTACCAGTAACGGAAAAAGCTGTCCTTACTTTCCAAGTGCAAAATTCTACTTATAAAACAACTTTAATGGTTGAAAAGATTGTGTCTTCTTCACTATCATGGAAGAATCAGTTGTGCATGTCTTACCTAACTCGTTCTCTTGGGTTGTCACAGATTTTGAGAAGGGATTCAAATACTTCTTGAAGCACTAACAAGTAACTTTTACTCTCCTTTGCTCCTCTTCTAAACTATGTTTCTTTGAATTAATTGAATGTACATTTTTGCCAAAAAAGAAAAGGATTGAAACTGTTTAATT